TGACAGGTATTGATAATTTCGATTGAAAATATTTGAAGAAAAATAGAAACCAGTTAAAAATATGTAGATGGCGCCCTCTACAAGTAGGAATTATAATGATATCAAAATCAAATTTCTCATGCCAAAAAACTACCAGACACCAATTTTCATCCAAATATTTACGTTACTTCAGAAATCATTTGGAAAACATCCAAATAAAAATGAAGTTTCTACACCCTGTAAGCATTTTCGGATATACATTTATACGAACTTTTTTACTTATTTTTATGTGCAAAATATGCTACTGAAGTTTTCGGAATACAGTTCGAACCACCCTGTATGAATATTAAATAGGTTATAAGGTATTGGTAGTATGCATAATATATGGGGTTGTGATTCACAATTGTTTTATATTTTCTATTCTGATCTCCTACATAAAATATATGGCTGAAGACACTTCAGAATAAGAGATCTACATAATCAAAAATGGCATCTTCTTCTTACAGTACCATACTCTATACAGAGCGTCAGCTACCTCTCGCATGTACTTCAGATAAATCAATATTTTTATTTAAATAAATAAAGCGACCGTACTGGCTGAGTATCCCATCTCTCGCACCGCAGATCGACACACTACTGCTTGCGCTACGACCGGCCACAAAAATTTGTATCTTTTGCAAAAGGTAATTAATTTAATTAAAAGGCGAAAGAATAAATAAATATCAGCAAAATATTAACAGAGCTAGTGCAAATGTAAGAACTTGACGAAGGAAAACGGAAGGTATAGTGAGAATCAACCTTAATATTGTCGGTTTCATACCAATATCCACCAAACACGACCCTTTTCCCCGAAAATTACTTGGCTGGAAATTTCTTTTCATCGTCGAAACGAAACCACCACCCAGACCTTTCCAATCGACCGTATAATGGCCGATATTAATAGGATTGATTTATATATAGCTGGAACGCGTTCTGATTTGGGTCTCGGCCCAAGGCCGCATCCATCTGTCAGCTGGCGTCGATGTGTATATCCGTTATAAATTGAACGGCCCGGAATTGTCCCGCACCAATACATTAATCGTATCGGAATAATCGTAGCCGAGACCCGGAAAATACGCGAGGGCAAGTGGGATAGATGGTCTAGGACGTGGGACAGATTCATTTTCTCTGCCAGGCGACGCACAGTGCTTCGAACATATGGCTCTAGAGGACAAAAATCCAAAACTTCTCTTTAATTGTAAGCAATTTATTCAAACTAGGTTTATTTGACACAAATGATGAGTACTCTCATTGTACTAAATGATGATGTTCTTAGTCCCACCGTTTATGAAAAAAATCTTATAAATAATAATAATGTTGGAGCTGTGTTCCATCTAAGCAAATAATAAGTCATAGTATGAAAACGGTGTAAGTATTAAATAAATTCCTGTGATAAAAAAGAATTGAAATAACATTAGAATATGATTCCTACAATATAAGCCTAATATAAGATAAAAATGTTTTTCTTTAATGAAAAAGAAACATTAATGTCATATTTAATTAAAAAAAAAACTTAAGATACTATAAATTTACTTTAGGACAACAAAATGCATAGATCGTAACTACTCTGATTCAGTAGAATCACTGGTGACAGAATCTTCCAAATTTATAGTATCCAAATCATAGGTAGATGAAGTATCCTCACATATAAGATATTTCTGTACATCATTTTCTAATATGTTACTTTTTCGCGTTGTTACTGTTCATTTTGTCGGTATGAGGGGTTCGGATGTTAATAGTTACATCTTTAATAGACCATATCCATATATTATTTTTTCCTTTTCTTGGGTATGAGATTTTATAATAAATTGAAAGATGGACACTTTTTTATGCGACGTTTCGCTCCAACATAGTGGACTTTTTCAGGCACAAGTGGTGTCTCATTTGACTGGAAGGTTCATCAATATCTAATAAGAACATATTTTTTGAAATACAAATAATTTTGAGTTCTTGTCCTTATGATCAAGCCAAGTATTAGCCAGATCGGCATTGCTTATCAATTTTACTCCATCTGAAAAGTATTATAAAATAAAGTTCGTCGCAAGCAGACGCAGGTGAACTATGCAAAAATTAAAAGTGTATGAATATGGCAACAAAAATATTCAATAAATACGATATGTTTTGATATGTTTTTTTTAATGCCTTTTTGAAGTTTGAAAACGTAAAATTTTTATACCCATTTAAGAATCATCTTAAAAAATAAATAAAAACTAAACAATAACGAACTTGTTTAGAAATAAATTTAAAGTACATACCTTGTTTAACAATATCCATAGTGGCTTTCAATTAAGTACGTACCCGTTTAACTCCATAATATACAGAACTACTATGAATGTTATTCTTTTCACTGATGAGATAATGATCGCAAAATTTATTTTTAGTGAAAATATTTGCTAACAAAAACGCTGTTTATGAAAAATAATATACAGGATGGTTGAACATTGCTATAAGTATAAAATTATATATTCAGATATTAGTAAATTTTAACTTATTTTTTGATTTTTGTCCATGGGACGAAGCACTGTGCGACGTTCCGTGAAAATTCGTTTTATTTTGTTGGGTTTGTTAGGTTGGAAAAAATACCGTCAAGAAAATGTGTTTTGGATCTACACTCAGCGGGAGGAAAAACGGACATCTTAAAATTTTGACGTATTTTAAAGTATTATACAGGGTGGCCTAAGGGAAGAGGGGTCAAGTGGTACCGCAATGAAAAGGACTTTCTATTTTCTATATTTCCCCGCTTCGTTTTTGAAAATCGGTCGAGTCATTGAGAAAATATGAAGGATTGAAATTTGAAAATTTATCAGAGTAAATGATAAGGATAAATTCCTTCGACCAATTTGCTGTTTTTTCTTATTATTTCTAGATGTTTACGCATTTTTTCACTTACCACAAGGTTGAACAATCAGGTGCGGTAGTTGCTAGATAGCTGTTCTGTGACTTGTGCGTTGAAGTTCAACCTCAATTGCGTTACACTTGCTCAATATCGTTACACTTTTTAACAATTATGGTGTACTCATTTGCATAAAAAATGGAAATAATCGAACTTTATTTTAAAAATAATGAACGTATCGGGTTGCGCAGATATTCAATGAATGCCATTCTGACAAACACCTTTATGGCAAAATTGTTCGCGAGTTAGTAGCAAAATTTCGCAAAACTGGTTCCGTTATGAATAAAAAGTGGCAATCCTGTAGTAAATGAAGCTATGGAGGTATTCCTATTGGGCGAAGTTGCCATAGATAGTACGCTGAGTACAAGAAAATTAGTCAATGAGACCAGCGTGAATCGTACAAGTGTCCAAAGACTCAACGAAGACGATTTTGATCGTCGCTTGCAATTTTGTGAAACTATGAGTGAACGAGTGGCGAATGATAATAATTTCCTATTTAATGTGTGTTTTTCGGATGAGTGTACTTTCTTTTTGAACGGTGTAGTTAATCGGCAGAACTGTCGGTACTGGGCTGAGGACAACCACAGGGGTTTTTCATGAGATGCACACACAAAACCCTCAGAAATTGAACGTGTGGGCTGGTATTTTTGGAAATTCTATTGTGAAAAGAGTCTAAAAGAACTGCCAACCAACTTTTTTTTAACATATTATAGTATGGGCGGTATACGTGCCTCCTGGCGCCAATTTTTTTTATTGAAGATGTTCGCTTTTGAAAAAGACTAACATTTTTTCGTAATTTTTACATTGACTTTGCTTTTGAACCCCGTCAACCCATGATTTATTTATTTAGCGGATGGTTTTAAAACACATAAAATAACATGTTATTATCACAGCTGTAAATATGAAACAAAAATAAGAAAAATTGTACATGTCAAATACAAAATGTAAAAAAGGAAAATTTGAAATATTGTACAGAACAAACTTGTACACAAATAAACATCTAGTCTTTTTATATAATCAATTACACTTCCATCCATGCATCATATAAGTTGAGCTCTGCATTCTCGTCAGTATTCCCAAGTATTTTTGACGAGAGTATAGTAGTTTTCTTTAAGCGGAGTCTATTAATATTTAAATCTGCTAACATGTATTACATAAAACAAATATAAAAACTACATCAAACCGAATTAAATACTGATAATAATGAGAAAACACGACAAATAAATCTTGTTCCCCCTACAGCGTTACTTTATTTAAAAAACACACAATCTTATTGTATTTTTATTTTGTTTCCCTTTGAATGCAATTAAGACACCTTAAATCTGAAAACAACACCAAGATTTCACGTTTTTAATTTAGTTCTCCTTTAATTTTATGACCATACGATAATAGTTTTCGTTTCCTTTTGTTCGAATTAATAGTTCGTAGAGTTCGAAAATAGACTCGATCCGTCGAGTCCACGACTTCATTAAATTTCCGTGGAAATTTGTCGATGTAACGTTAAACAAGCATAATTAAACGTTGGATTTATTTCCCCGAGATTTTCGGAACAAAGGAACCGAGAAATGGTAACGAATTTACATTAAATATTATCAACAAAATGATGTCTCTTCCTTACAACGAGCGATCATCGTGATTTGTGCCATTTTAATTAGTATACCTAATTTGAATAATATTCTATACCTGTAAGTTTTTTGGGATAATAAAACGAAATATAAAATCCTTAAGTGACTGACATACTGATTAATCACGATCCTGCTCAAACCACTCAACGTAAGAAGCTCAATTTTGGCATACAGGTTGATTCTAGGGTGTAGAGGTTCGATAAGAAGGGATTTTTCGATATTCCAGTTCCAAGAGGGTGAAAGCACCCCTCAAATATTACAATATTTTTTTATTTAAAAAACGGTCAAGTTTCCGAAAAAACGCTTAAACACGTATATTTTATTTTGTTTTTTTACATATTACATTTATACCCCCGATTTTTTTTTACACCATTTCAATGACACCCTGTATACAGTTTATTTATTCCATAAATATACGAATCGATATAATATCTAAATAACTTATTTATTCCACACCCTTTCAGGACCGCATCTGCGACCACTACCGATCCCTCTGCAGCGCCAAAAGGCCGTCGCTGGCCGCCTATATGGCCGGAGTGCCTAATCCCAAGGCGGCCGTGGAAAAGCCCTTTATGCTAAGCGACGGCAAAGTCTTCCTGTCCGCCAGTCTGGACAAGGCCATCTATTCGCACGGCGAGGAGGTCCGAGTCAGCGTCCACATCAGGAATAACAGCACCAAAACCATCAGAAGGATAAAGGTATAGTTTGTACCGATTAAACTTTTAGTCCCGTGATTCAGCTTGACACTTGCTTATTTTCTTTTAATCAAAATATTATAAAAAACAAAAATAAATTAGTTATAAATATATAAACAGTTATTATATGCATCAACAAAACTCACCTCCTTAACAGCACTTAAGGGACATAAAGAGCAATTACTACCGCTTTCCCGTTCAAAATATTCTAATAAGGTTGCGATGAGTTTTTTGCAACGGCTGTTAAGCTATCTTGTACAGGGTGGGTCAAATTCGACGCTTTTAAATGGAAACACCCTTTTCTATAGGAGATAGACAAAAACTAATATCGGTGTCTGAAGCTCAATTTTTGTCAAAAACATGATGGTGAAAACCGCATATCGATATCTGTTACCGTTTCGTAGTTACGGGGTGTTTTTCAAAAATATGCATTTTTAACAAATCGCTGTAACTTTTTTGCTATGGAAAATTTTGTATTTTTATGAAAACATTTCCAAAGCATCTTTTTACGTAGAATTTAATGGTTTAAGTATATTTTTTTTTAAATTAATAAGTTAAGAATTATCAACAGAAAATTTGATTTTTTATATGGGACACCCTGTATATTTTTAATTTATTGAAAAGACTTTAAAATTAGAGTATATAACAAAATTCGCCCGCTTTAAATAAGTAGGTTTTGAACGACACCGGCTGTAATGCAAAAAAATCTAATAAATATCTAATAAATAACAAAGAAAAAATAAATAGCAAACCAAGACATGAGATTTTGCTATAGGTGTTCGACATATCGACCGTCTTCTGTTATGGACAGACGGGGCAGTTTTTGAACATTTCTCGCGGAATTCATTAACTCAGTGGGGTGAAAGATACCCCCTCATAACTGCTAAGTATTTCTAATTTTGTCGAGATGACGGAAGAATAAGGAACCTTTATTTTCCGCAAATATATCGATAGGATTAGATCCATGGGCACTAAGTCAGACGGCCTCGACAGCCAACGGCTGGAATCTTGTTGGCTATTCAATTATTCTTGAAATTGGCTGCAAAAATTTGCTGATAACTTCAGCGTTCAGAGGCGGTGCGTCGTCTTGCTGGAAAAATATGTTTTCCAGTTCCATTAAGGGCATATCATCAATAAGGGGTCCAAAGCCTACTAGTTAAAAGTGGCGAACTTTTAAAAATTCTGTATTTCGAAGGGGATTATAACAAAATATCAAGTGTGCTATATTTTTGGAAAGGTAATTTAAAATTCATTTCAGTTAATTAAAAATATAGAGGGTGTCCCAAATAAAAAATCAATTTTTCTGTTGATAACTCTTAAATTATTAGTTTTAAAAAAATACTTAAACCATTAAATTCTACGTAAAAAGGTGCTTTGGAAATGTTTTCATAAAAATACAAAATTTTCCATAGCAAAAAAGTTACAGCGATTTGTTAGAAATACATATTTTTGAAAAACACCCCGTAACTCCGAAACGGTAACAGATATCGATATGCGGTTTTCACCATCATGTTTTTGACAAAAATTGGGCTCCAGACACCGATATTAGTTTTTGTCTATCTCCTATAGAAAAGGGTGTTTCCATTTAAAAGCGTCGAATTTGACCCACCCTGTACAGTATTGAGCCTTTAACTAGTTCTGAGCTCGGGGTTGGCAGATAAAGATCGTGCTCCGCATTCCTAAGTGGATAGTTGAGAGGTTTGGTTTGCAGATTAAGCAAATGGATTCAAAAATGAATAAGGAAGGAAGAGTCAGTATTTTGAAATTTTTAAAGAAATTCTGGCAGTGAGTTCTACTGTTCAGTCCCAGTAAATATCGAACTGCTCTCTTTTGAAGTTTGAGGCTTTTGAAGTTTTGACTGCTCTCTTTTTAAGTTGATCGTAATCTTAAATCATACAGGATGTTCAATATTCAGTGCTAAACTTTCTAAAGTATAGAATAATGTTTCTTTGTTTTTTTAACTGGAACAATCTTCTATATTATTTTTTATTTGATGAAGAATTAAAAAATGAACTTTTTTTGTATTTCTAGTATTTTAAAATAGGTTTTGCAACAGCTAAATTCCTTGCTAAACAAAGTAAACAAACTTTTAGTATTTGCCCGAAACAGAAACAAACTGTTTGTATTTTTCAGCAAATTTTACAATAGAAAATGAAACGCTGGAGTTCGTTTATTCCTTCATGCTCCGCAAAAACCTTTCAACCGTAATATCGAACTTCTATTACCAACTATTCTGTTCGTCTAAAGCATCCAATGAATGTTTTTTAGTCGTTTTTCTACGGTTATTATCGAAATTTCAAATTTAATGGATAAATTAGTATCAAATGATTATTAAGAAAGCACAAAAAATGTTAAAAACCCATAACGAAGAAAAAAAGCATAACGAGTATAGGAAAAAATTAAAAAAACTGGATTTATAAGAGCTCAAGTCAATTTATTTTTTACAAGCAATTTCACTCACAGCATAATACATTAATGTATGCTATTTTAAGATCCTGTAATAAAATTTTTACTAAGCGCCTAAATTAAAATTGAATTTTTCGGATAAAAGAACTACGTAGTTTTTTTTAGATACAGAGATAATATAATTTCGCGTTCTAAAAATAACAAATTAAATGCCATGCTGCTTTATGGTAAATTTTATTTCTTCTTTAATTTCAGTAATTATTGTGTTTTTGTACTTATTCTTTACTTATTAGTTTGACTTGACTAGTTTTTTTTTCGTTGTCCTCTATCGCACAAACGAAGCACTTTGCTATACAGGGTGTTTCAAAAAACATGTTCCATTTCTCGCGGGGAAATTCCTCACGTAAAAATAAGATTTATTTTCCGTATCAACATAGGTCCGATTCTGCTTTGTTTCATAGGTACAGGGTGTTAAAGTCATAGGTACAGGGTGTTATATGTAATGTCATACTATCATCGGTAGAGGTAATATTAAATACTGTTCGTTTTCAAAGTGTCACCCTGTATACAACTCCGTAACATGAAGCTATTGAAAAACTTTTCCACTTGACTATATTAATATCAGACATCTATAATCGGTTTCAGATGCTCATGAAAATAACTATTTTAAAACAATATAACAAAAAAGAGAACAATCAAACCATTAACAAACAAAAAGTTTTCGAAGCACACAACCACAATATTAAATAACAAAATATTTTAACCGTCCGTCGCTAACAGAACCAAAAGCAATTTTCCTAATTTATCCCCAACTCCTACTATCTGATAAATAATCAAAAGTTGAACGGTAAAAGTAGGTGGTAAAATATTATGTCGGGCAAGTTTCCGGAGAACAGCAGTTTAGTAAGCGGTAAAAAGGAGATATAAAAAAGACTACAAAACTTGGCCTAAGAGGATTAAACTTATAATATGGCCCGGAGGTAAACGAGTCCCGGGTGACGTAAATTTTCCAACTAATTTATTTGCATAATTTAATTTTCTACGTGGTTTTATTAGCCCGGGTCCCTAATACAATCAGGATAATGACTGTTAGATAAATAGCTCGGCCTTGAACCCACGAGCACTGTATTTTCCTAAAAATGGCTCTAAATTATATAAGGCTGGCCCTTTGGATTGAAAGATTAAGGAGGAACTATTATAAAAAATGTCCATACCTATGTGGCGGATTCATCTCTCCAAAAAATCCTATATGGCTATTTCGCCACGGCAAGAAAATTTGTCAGAAGTTAGGTTTACAGATATACAAATTTGCCTAACCAACAAAAAAATGCTTTACGTTTCAGAAAGTTTATCTCTTTCCGTCGTCGGAAGCAAAAAAAATACAAAGAAAAAAACTATTTAAAATATTTAAATTCAACTATTCGAGAACACTTTAGTTTTTTAAAACAGATACGTCTACAAAAACCGTTGACTTTCTGTTAATACAATATTATATTAAGTTAAACTTCAAAATTAACAATTACTTAATAAGATTACAGTTGAGGGTTGGAACCTTTGGTGTTACACAGCAAAATAAAATTACACTAAATCACCACAATACACCAAAACACTTTTACTTTTACACTGGACGCGCGTTTCGCTAACCATGTTAGCATCATCAGCAGATGATTATAAACTAAAGTACAATCTACAAGTTGAGCGTTTATATACTCGCCCAGTAGGTACCGAGTGGGCGTGGCAAAATCTAGCCAACCGAGTCAGAGCCTACTGAGCGTAACAGTTAATTTCCGCCACTAGAGTAGTAGGAACAAAGAACTTGAAGGAATTGGACCGTTGACTCTGTTCATACTATCTTTACATTTATTAATTCTGATGCTTTCATATGCATCTAATTGCCTGTAATTTGAGACTTGTTTAATTAATTTTAAATTATTAAGATCTATACAATGTTCTTTATCAACAATATGTTCGGCAACGCAAGATTTATCCGGTCTACCATATCTTATCTGAGCTAAATGTTCTTTAAATCTAGTTAATATTGATCTTCTAGTTTGCCCAACATATTTCTGATTACAATCTTTACAAGAAATTTCATAAATACCCGACCTTTCCAAGGTGTTTTATCCTTTGGATTACCTAATAATTGTTGTAATTTATTATTAGCACTATACACAAGTTTATAATTGACATTCTTAAAAATTCCTTTTAGACCACGGGATAACTCTCTATCAAACGGTATTGAAAAATATTTAGACGTATCTTTCTCCACTTGAAAAGTCGAATTTTCAGAAATCATTAACCTATACCTACGTTTTTTAATTAATTTATCAACTAGTGAAGGAGAATATCCATTACACTCAGCTGCATTCCTAATGTAATCTCTTTCTATTTCATATCTTTTGTTGGAAAGTGGGAAACTAAGTAATCTATGAACTAAGAAATTTAAACTAGCAATTTTATGTTCGACACTATGATGTGATTCATTAGGAATATATCTGCGCATGGTGGTATTTTTCCTATAGATATCAAATTCCAGGCAATTATTAATATTTCTAATAACTAATACATCTAGAAATGGTAATCTGTCGTTGTTCTCA